CTAAAGAAAGCCAAACACGACAAAATTGAAATGTTGTAGGCTCGTTTTGACTGAGCCTGTTCATGGACGGTACTGGAAAGTGCAAGTTACCGTCCACGCCTAGCACCGGCTTAAGCAGAATTAAACATTTAACACGAACTGGTACAATTTGGAATTTTGAAAATCCGCAGAAGTAAGCCCATTGCGTGTTACGGTCCGTGTTCTTTGACCTTTGACCTTGAACCAGCGTGTCAAGATTAGAGTCGGACACGCTTTCTCCAAAACGTTCTCTCTTTTCATTAATGAAAGGGTTTTTTTCCTGCTTAAAATCGTGGTCAAAGTCAATCAATTGGAAGTTGCCGAGATAGTTCGGTTGTACACCATTTTCAATGTATCCATTTGACTACTTGTCAGTAGGCCTATTTCATTAAAAACACCACTACGCTTTCACTCAATGTCTGTGAAAGTAACAAATCATCCTGTGTAATGTTTTCACTATTAAACGTAGTGCTCATTTGAAACAAGTCCAAAGCCTGCGATAAAACAAAATCATCATTATCTAAAATGTTCATATTTGTCCCACGACGAGACAAGAATTTGGCGCTAAATAAGGTAAACTGCTAGGGCTTAGCGCAAACGAATGTGATTCGTTCATTTTTGTGTCGCCTTGAAAAGGTGACATATAGGGGTTACTTTTGTCGGCGGCGTCGGCGGCGTCTGTGTCGGCGGCGTCGTTGTCGGCGTCGTTGTCGGCGTCCCCTAAAGCTTGTCCGGAGCATAACTCAGTCACTATAAGTCTGATTGACTTCAAACTTGGTATGCATGCTCCTTTCAATAACCCAAAGTGCAGTGCACAAGGACCGGTACTCTGTATTTCTTATTTTTTGAGTTATTGCCCTTTGTTAATTTTCATACTTTAATTTTGTCCGGGCCATTTCTCTTCAACTAAAAAAGCTATGGACTTGAAACTTCATAGGATGATAGATCTCATTAAGAAGAAGTGCAGTGCACAAGAACCGGTACTCTGCACTTCCTAATTTTTGAGTTATTGCCTTTTGTTTATTTTCATACTTTATTTTTGTCCGGGCCATTTCTCCTAATGTATAAAAGCCATGGACTTGAAACTTCATAGGATGATAAGTCTCATTAAGAAGAAGTGCAGTGTTTAAGAACAGGTACTCTGCATTTCTTATTTTTTGAGTTATTGCCCTTTGTTTATTTTCATACTTTAATTTTGTCCGGGCCATTTCTCCTTAAGTATAAAAGCTATGGACTTGAAACTTCATAGGATGATAGACCTCATTAAGAAGAAATGCAGTGCACAAGAATCGGTACTCTGCATTTCTTAATTTTTGAGTTATGGCCTTTTGTTAATTTTCATACTTAATTTTTGTCCAGGCCATTTCTCCGAAAGTATAAAAGTTATGGACTTGAAACTTCATAGGATGATATATCTCATGAAGAAAAAGTGAAGTGCATAAGAACTGATACTCTGCATTTCTTATTTTTTGAGTTATTGCCCTTTGTTGATTTTCTTACTTTATTTTTGTCCTGGTCATTTCTCCTCAAGTATGAAAGCTATGGACTTGAAACATCATAGAATAATAGATCTTATTGATAAGAAGTGCAGTGCACAGAAACTGCTGCTCTGCACTTATTATTTTTTTAGTTATTGCCCTTTGTTATTTTTCATATTTCATTTTTGTCCTGGCCATTTCTCCTAAACTACATTGTTCACAAAGCGACACATCCGACTCGCGGAGTTCTAGTTTTCTAGGGGTTCACTATATCTCTGACAGCGAAGGAGCAGAGGCACCGAATGGGTGTATTTCTATGTTTATCTCTAAAATTATCATTTGGTTAAATGATGCGATAATACGAGAGAGCGAAAATCTCCAAGAAAAAGTTGTGATGGTCATACGATAAAGCACTTACAGACTATTAACTCGGACTTCACAGGCTGGTATCAGCGCATGGGGCGACAAAAAGGGTCAATCATGAAAATTAATCTCGACGTTCTGTCTCGATTAATTTCCTATGTTTGACCCTTGTTGTCGCCCCGTGCGCTGATACTAGCCGGTAAAGTCCTCGTTAATTTTCTATAACTAATATATGTTTGTATCGGATTTTATGGTCTCCGTCGAAGTATTCTTTCCGTCGTAAAATCTGAAAAATTTGGTACAAAATTGACATTTGACCTATTTTCTCTCTCGCATATGGTAATACAGTGCACATATGGATCAGCAGAAATTCACATATATTTTTACTGATGTTCAATTTTGAAATCCATATGGGGTTCAATCCCCTTGAGATATTTCTATATCTTCTTACATACAGACAGGAACCTTAATTAATGGGCAATTTAGGTGAAGCAATTCATTTTTATTGCATATATAAAGTAAGAACGTTCTTTTTTAAGAGCGACTGTTACTTTGTTCATAACTATATATTCTTTTCATGTGAAACATAGATTTTTACGTTTTAAATTTGAGTTGACTGTGAAAAAAATATATTACAGCGTGTGGTTTAAACTACGTCACAAATGTGCATGATAATGTGCTGAAAGTAATCTACTGAAAGTAACTAAGAGGCAGTTCATTTTTTTATGATTGTTTATAATAACTTGGAAGCAATAATGGATCAACAAAGTAATAGAAATTGAAACTTGTCTATGAATATACGGGAGAACATAGCCTTCTCTTTTTGTTGCCTTTCTACACACCCACTTCAACAGAAGAGACGAAAGTTGCTGTCTTTCAAAGTTCCGCTGTTTTGCCGTATAATTTCTTTTCAAACGGAGTGTTATGTGTCTGTGATAGTTGATTTTCAGTATCACAGGATTATTGTGGTGACAGACACGGCTTGTGTTTATCACGCATATGTGCAATAAGCATGTCTTATTCGAAGCCTTAAAACTATAATATTTCTCAGATCTTTAGAGTAGACGGTAGTCGTCATTGACTGATAAGATTCTTTATTAATGTATTATCAGATTAAGTTTCTTCTCCTGGCTAACGTTATTTTTAGACGTGTTGCCTTCGGTTCCATGTTTTGCCAGCTTGCATGCTCTTTCATTTCCCGGAATCAAACAGTGGGTGAGAATTGTTGAAGTTACAGCTGTAGGTGTCACTAGCCAGGGCTACCGAATGAGTTTAAATGTTTGTATGTCTAAGGGTTTACAGGACGGACAGAATATCTGTCTGGATAACCATCTTGCAACTCTTAAATACCGGTATGATGTCATCAAATTCTGCCCTATAGTTTGTATAATGAACTTTAGTTGGGCAACTAAAATCCTGACTAAAGTTCACATCAACTTATTTCTTTTATGTAGATCTGATAACCACCGTATATGTTTCGCGCTTTTTCAAAATCTGATTTCCCATGCAAATTCAATTTTAGCTATGCGATCAACCCGATTTTTTTATAGACAGGCATTAGAAAAAGTATCAAAATATCGTTATCCGTTTTGCCGATTTGTCATGTGCCCGATTTTCATGTACTGGCTGCAACTTCACAATAAGCTACAAAAATCGACATGTCTTGCCTCGCCCGTCACCTCGACATATTTTTCGGGCTGAAATGAACCTTTGGCTTGATTATATATGCATCATACATATTTAATATGTTCATATACATATCATCTTCGGACAAATGGCAGTAATTTGTCAAAAATAAATGTAAAATTCATAAAAACACCCTACTTTCGGTTTTGCAGCGGCACGGGCTGTAATATTTACATAAAAGTAAGAAATATTACATACATACTTTGTTGGAATAAAGTGAACTTTTTATTTGGAAATTATAAAATGATACTGGTTCCGTAAGTAATAAAACATTTTTACTGTTATTTTGCCTGTTTTCATTTCAATGAACCTCTTTTTTTAATTCTATGCCATAGTGACGATTTACATGTGCGTGTACAGAAAAAACATGATGCATAAATATTGATTAGTAGGAGTAAACTTCAAGATCCCTGCACATGCGTATATTGCACTTTAGCGCTCTTCGAAACTTAGCTCCGCCCACTTGCGTTTTATAATATAAAACGTCCAGTTTATATAAAATCTGTTCTATTAAGATTTGAAACCTGAAAATTTGAAAAATCCTCGTCGGTGATTGGCTTAAAAAAATTGGCGAGCACTAAAGTTAATTTTTAATAGACAAGATGACAATTAACATGAACCTGGAGGCGTGCTGTTTAAATGGTTTATATGATTACACATTCATTTCAGGTGATTATAATGCTCTAACCTCAAATCTGACAGATTATACTGTAAACGATTAGTTTTGACTGATTTTTTTTTCAATCCTGACCAGAAGGCAGCCGGTGCGTGGCTTGGATAGTATACATTTACATGATAACGCCCACTTATTTTTTATAAAAAAAATAATTTTACTAATAAAATATTTTTCACTCAAAATGTTTTTAAAATATCTCATTTTTAATAAAACAACAAATGAAAGTTGTTTTTAAAAATTTCCTCCATTTATACTATAATATAGTAAAGGTAGAAAGGTTCGCCAACAGAACTACCATAAGGCCTTATTTTACCTCCAAGATCTTTATTAATTGTCAACCAATTTTTACCAAATAAAGTGCAATCTACGCAGAAATGATTTCTCTTTCGAAACATATACAATTTTAGATCAGTTGGTACGACAAAAGATGGAAATTTCAAGCGAAAATGCACTTTTGTCTAGGTCGGACATCGCTTGACCGAGCCGAAAGAAGGCGATTTTTCAAGCTGAAAAAGCTAAACTTAATCAAAGTCAATAGGCGTATCCCCACAGAAAAAAATGACATTTTGAGACACTTCTGGCATTGATGATGTAATTTGTTTATTGCAAAGTTAGAAATTTCTTAATAATTATGAAATAAGAGAGGTAGATAATCTTCTGTCAGATGGTCATTGCATGGTAGAATTTTATTTGAATATAGGGAACTTACAACAAGAAAGTTCCAGTTCCATTATATTTATTAATAAAAACCAACATTTAAAACAACAAAAGTGGCAGATTTGAAAATAACATTGATACTGAAAGTATTCACACTATTATAAATGACATTTAACCAAAAAAGAATAGATTTAGTCAAATTCAAATGGATAATATTTACTCAAACATGGCTCAGATCTATCTAGGGAATGCCCACCTTAGCGTTATACGTAATAGTTTAAATAAAATTGAAAATATGAAACCAAATTTCAGGCCATGGTACGGCATTGACCTCATAAGGTTTTTTTTTTGGTAATATTAACTGTTATCTCACATTCTTGTTGTAATGGCTTGAGCAAAATAATGTTTATATTGTTGTTGTTGTTGCTGCTGCTGCTTCTTCTCCTGCAGCTGCTGTTGTTGTTGCTGTTGTTGTTGTGGTGGTTGGAAATGGTTTATATAACCTTTTTAGAATCAACACCAACCAGGACTCAAAGTCGTCTTACTTATTTGGTGCAGTGACGTTATTCTTTTCGCATTTGAATAATTTGCGGGGACTTGAGTATCGCGATATAGGCTAATCATGCGTTTCAATTCTTCTACGATGTCAATATTTTTTTCAGCGATGTCTTCCTGTTCAAACGGATCTTCTAGAATTTACAACATTTATAACATCATTATTATTGTTTGAAATTTCGAATACATATAATTCATTGATAATAAGATTTCATTACTTCAAATTTCGTTGCTGAATATATTTCTACTTGCTCTATTCATTTTAATGTTTTGGAAAACAAAAATTGCAAAGAAAAAGAATCAACATTGTATTACAAAAGTTTAAATGACATTGTGTAAATACTTACTTTCTATGTCAAATAACCGCAGTACTTTCCATCGATTATCTAAGTCAGGTTTTTGGCCATACATAAGCTTGAAATTTCTAAACCTGTAACAATAACGATTATTATAATAGCAGTTATGAAAGCTACTAATATTTTCCCCTGCATTTCTTTATATACCTTCCTATTTAACAATTATATTTAGCATTCTTTATTAAAACACTGTTTCATTTAAAGTCTTATATTTATCTATCTGGTAAATAAGTTGATAAATAATGCGGATTTGGTAACAGCTTTATTAGCCTTTTTTAAAAGACTTCTTTCCCTAAAAAAATTAACGTTTTTTATTCATGCTTAATTGTAATAAACGCCTTTAGCTTATTGGACAACTCTTGAGTCCACGTTCTAGAACTTGTACTTGTGGCCAATTTAGCATGCTTATGACCCCTATAGGGATTGAATGTTAGCTCTCGGGTTGCGGTAAACATGTTAAAATTCTTGACCACCACTCCGCTTTATTAGCAGTTAACAGGTATTTTAAGTTGTTTCAATTCGCATAATTATTATGCTTTCTCATGTTATGTATTGAAATTATGAAAATAATTGTATTCAAGTTATGTGATCGTCTTACTTGCACATTTACCTGTCTACAATATCTTGTCACAACACTAAAGTTGTGAGCTTTTGGTTCATTTGCAATGCCATTTTCTTGACGAAAATATATATATATATATATATATATATATATATATATATATATATATATATATATATATATATATATATATATATATATATATATATATATATATATATATATATATATATATACATACACTAACCTATAGGCCCACCTATCTTGAATGTCGTCTATACAGTACACAAAATCTTCCCGGGAAGATCTCCTCCCTTCACTGATGGTCTTCCATTGGTTCACACCATCCAACGAACGATCTATCATTTAAAACGATGTTAATTTTCTTTATATATTTAGAGATCCAGTTAAGTTCAAACATGACTTACCACAATTTAAAGAAATGGTAAACAAAAATAAAGAATATACATTTAGGCATGTTCACAGGTTATTTCTGTTACCACGGCAATCGTACGACAATACTGATAAAACAATTTAATTAAACAATCTACAATTAATGACACAAAATAATTAGTGGCGTAAAGAACATTCCATATGATAGAAATTAAAGGTCATTAAAAGTTTTAAAAAATCTTGATGTAAAGATTTGTTACCTGGTATACCACCAGCAACATGCAAGAGTGTAGGGAACCAGTCAACTGCATGTATCATTCTGAAGAAAGCGCAAATATAACAAACAACGAAAACTATTCTAAAGCAAGAATAACAAGTTTGAATCGAAATGTACAATGCGGTATCATAAAAACATCTTATCCTTGACATGTGCCAAGTAAGCACACTGTTCCATTGTAAATGAAGGTGGAAGATGTATGCAAATAATTTTGATTTTTTTTCTATCATGCAACTGTCCTGTGGTATATAACTAATGGTAAAGCATGATTATAATTTGTTAATTTTTAAAATGTTAATATATATTTATATTTGATTCTTACCTTTGCTAGATGGAAGTTTTTTATCTATGATTATTGGAATTTTAGAATGAACACAATCTTGGTTTAATTTTCTGAATGAAAGATATACCGTGTAAATTTGTAAAGCAGAAATTTGAAAATAACGAAGACATTGTGCAGTAGAAACGCAGTATGTGTGTAAAATGTGGCTTACAAAAGAGCAAAACGGTAAGTTACCTGACTAGCATATATTGTTTTAATTCAAAATGTAATCAGTAAATTAGCGTAAACGGCTGCTTAGACACAATATTTTTACCTCATTAAAAAACTTTTTCTTCAAAAGACAACCGTGAGGATAACAACGTTCGCTACAAGATAATAGATTATGTTTCGTCGATATTTGTTAACATAAAAACGCATGATTTACGTAATTATTTTCATATTACGGGACATTTACCAAATTTTGGTAAGAAATAATATATACCATAATATTGCATAATAATACACACTTTAGGTCCTTCTATGTAAAATTTGAAAAAAAAAATGCGGGTCGTGTTAGAATATTAATCTAAAATAATTTTGATATTAGATGTAGGAGACAAAAGTGTGGAGTCACATTTTCGAGGCAATGCCAATTTTGAGAATAATGCACATTCGGGCAGCACATATAACATCATTTTAAGTTTCTGAATCACATTTTATTTTCTTTCCTTGAGTGTTATATGACACCAGTAGATCGGCAAAGTATACCGAAAATTTCAGACTAAATATTATTATGCGTTTTTGTACTAATTGATAACGTCGAAGCACATGCTTCAGAGCGGTAGCCAATTTGTAATTTTGACGAATGATTTTTGAAAAGTAAAAACATTCTTTGCAAAATGTGTAATGCGGTTAAAAATATTGTTTTGGCAGCTGAGTCATTTTTTTAATAATAGACTACGTATGAATATTGCGGTGCTATTTTCGGCTATAAATATCGTACATATTCGGCGTTATTAAGGCACGATTCCAGTGTTATTTTCACATGTAGGCTTAATGGGATATGCACAGTGATACTGAAATCATGTAATGTGATATTTTCAATACAATCAATTGAAAATAATACAAAAGTTCAATAGGGATTTCAAGCATAAATAAGAGGGTCATTCAATAAGATCTGATAATGGCTTTATTGTAAGGAAACTATTATAAGTAAATGACACGTACCGTATCTACATTCATTCAAAGTAACTATCCGTGTTTCTATCTGTTCGAAATATCGGCAACTCCCGTTGCTAGACTATTGCATGTAATGCGTTGAAGCTACGTGGCCATGGCAACTTTAAGTTTCTGTAAGTCATTAAATCCGACACCCTTGAGCGGCATTTTGAATTTAGGAAAAAGGTCATAGCCACAGGGACTCATGTCCGGCGAATAACTGGGGTTAGGTAACATTTCCTATTCCTCATATTCCTTGAGTTTTTACGTCACCGGATGTGATTTATGCGGAGTTGCATTGTCATGAATTAACAGAACCCCTGACTTCAAGAGCGCTGGTCGTTTTTTCCTGATAGCTGGAGAATTGTTACTTTAATTCGGGTTTATAGCTACGAAGCCATGTCTCATCTATTCTCACAATGCGGATTAAATACTGTTTGCCTACATCTTTATATCTTTTTGAGCAATTTTCTGCAATCACTAACCAGTCCGTCATTTGGTCCCGCGTGAGAAAATGTGGCATCCATCTTGCAGAAACTCGGCGCATTCGCAAATGACGTGTCAGAATTGCATGAATTGACCCAACAGAAATACCAAGACTTTCATCTAACTCTTCATTTGCGTGTTAAGCGCCTATCTTCATTCAATAGGTTTAAATCTTTCTCAACATGGAACCTGTCTGTAACCTCAACTGGCTGTTCGCTACGGGGGTCGTCGGACACTTCAAATGTTCCATCTGCAAATCGCCTAATCCATCTATAAACTGTATTAAATAAACCAGGAGATTCGCTGCAAGCTTCACATAACTGTCCATAGATTTTCTTTCCCTTTTTCCTTTTAAAAACTATATCTTTATATATGCACACTGTCCATCTAGGCTTACCGCGGCCATGACGCTTGAGCGACGTTCAAATGACGTCATAGATATGTGACGTCATATGTCGCACGAGAACGTGTTCTACGTCAATTAGTAGTTCAATAATTTTGTCACTCATACAAATTTTCATAATTTTAAAATGAAAGACAAAAACGTTATTGGGTCATTATCAGAACTAATTGAAGACCCTCGTATAGGGAATACAATTTTAGTATATAGAATCATGTCTTACTCTGTATTTACATAACCCGATCTTTTTAAGAAGGTTGGACTGTAAACGAATGCTACACCCCTCGTTCCACCTTCCCATAACGATCCTTTATGGCCACGAAGTGGTAAATTGTTTCCAGCAGATTGCTTCCCTCCATTCTGATTATTTTTGCAAAAAGCACAAAGGCGACATTTAGAGCAAAAAGTGACATTAGGCTCAGCTTCGATTGAATAAGATAATATAAAAAATGTGGCTATTATAATAGTGATTGACAAAATAATTGACGATGAACTATTTTATGGATAAATTATACAAAAGAAAACACTACATAAGTTATAAGTAGACTGTCCCAGCCAGTCCTTTAAACAAACGAACGTTTACGATACATTCCTAATGATATCTATAGAAATGTCCGCATGTCACGTGGACTATTGATTATTTTTGCACAGTAAAATAAATTTATCACAATTATGGCAAAATGCAAAGATAGTTTGACTCTTACCTCTGCACTACGGTGGGCATAATGTCACTTTAAGTTAAGAATTTAACGAATACAGTGTCGCTTTTTTAATTTATTTTTTGCGATTTACATATCATAATCATTATGACATAAATTTAGATATAAGTAAACAGCTCATTATTTGCAATTGACAAGACCAAGCTGTTCTTTATCAAAACTGAGTAAGCAACTTTCAACTAAAAAAACAACAAAAATATGTATTTCGGTAGTTTTTTCGCGGAAAAGTGCATTAAATCACTATTTTTAAAAACATCGTCCGGAGAGCTATTTATAACTTGCCAGTGACATCGGGAAAGACATCGTCCGCTTGACTTATTTAAATATAGAGATTAGAGATCGGCAAATTTCATTTTCCACATGAATTCTTTTGATTTTAAAACTACTGTAAAAACCCGCTTTACGACCACCCCGATTTTGAGACCACCCCGTTATTCCGTAATACGACCAGTAAATTCAGTCCCGTTTCGTAAATTATGTACATTTGGAAACCCATAAATACGACCGCGGGCACTTTCACACCTTGATATTGATGTGCATTATATATTGCTGAAATCCTTTTGACACGTGATGTAAACAACAGTTGTCCTGGTTTTACGACATTTAACGACATCCAATTTATGACAGAGGTCATGGTTAATTTGTGTCAAACCCGGTACTAACCAATAATTGCCGATAATTTCTTAATTTCACACCTTTAATGTCATAATTGTAGGTTTACAATAACAAAATATAAGTTTTTAGAGGTGTTGTCGCTATCATTACCTCTTTTGTTTCATAATTCTAAACAAACATAACTGGATGCAATTTTTTTTTTGAAGTTGTTGTCGGCGATAAAACCTGTGGAAATAAATAAAGGTTAATTGGTCGTTTTGTTTTGTAGTCAATTGGCGATTTTCATCAGTCTTTAATTGAGTAACTTGTGTCATTCTTTTAACTAGAATATAAAAATAAGTTTGTGTTCAAAGACATTCGTAATACATTTTGTATCTTTAGAGAAGTTTAAAAAATTCATAAAATCTACTTGAGCTGCACTTTGAAATAATGAATAGGAAACGTAAAGAACTTTGTCTTCAAGAAAAAATGCATTGCCTGGTTTTCAGTTTGACCGAACTCATTAAAAAGACCAACCCGCTATTAAGACCAGATTTGCAAAGTCCCTACAGTGGTCTCATAAGCGAGTTTTTACTGTATATGTAACGATTTATCTAAAAATAACATAATTAGTTTAAAAGTAGAAAGGCTATTAAAGGCCGCTTTTTGAATATCATTTTCTTGTTGTTGTTTTTTTTTTTTTTTTTTTTTTATGTAAGCGATTGAATACAGAAAAACTGTTTTTATTCGCGTCAGACATGTTAGAAAGTTTAAAGATTTAATCGGATATAGATATGTAAACAGAATATAGGCAACAGTTCGTTGGTTTGTTTGTTTATTGTGTGTTTTTTTTGTTTTTTTTTTTTTTTTTTGTTGTTGTTTTTTTTTTTTTTTTTTTTTTTTTTTTTTCACGTCATATAGATGTAATACTTACGTCTGTAGTGAAAACAATAACAGCGTTGTCCATTAGGCCCTTTGCTTCAAGAGCAGCAGTAATATCTCCTATCGCTTTATCTAATGCAGATACCATCCCTATAATATTTATATTGAATTTAAAGTAACAACACCGAAATGAAAATCATACGGTACCTTTTAGTTCTTCTTGTATAGAAAAAAAATTCTAATGTAATTTCTGATGACCTTTCATAAAGCCAATCATCGGTGAGTTTCATAATTTTGAAAGCGATGGTTTTCTTATTCTAACCAGGGAAAACCAATACTGGGTATATTTCGAGAAAAGCATGGCGTTGCTCAAATAGCCGACAGGTATACTGGCAAAATAGTCTTGCCCATTAACAATTGACACTATTATTCTCAAGTAAAGTCTTCAAACAAGTTCTTTCTAACGAAATTCTACGATTGGTTTAACTTCTCGGGAAATCCGAGCTATAAGAAGGCGAAACTTATACGGTCGTCATCAGATCTACAGGAAAGACATAAGTAGATCAGGGGTGCGTTTTATAAAGAATCGCAAGCGTAAAATATAAGATTAAAGTTAAGACTGGAATGAAATTGCACTTAGGAGTGTTTCAAGAAACCCAGAGACACCCCTAGGAGTAGTCATAACTTAAGGTATTACCACCCTTACGGGCACTATAAGGAACTGAAAAAATTATATCAAAGCGTCAAAAAAAAAGGCCTTTAAGAAGATTTATAGATATTATACGTTTACATATAATATATGTTTACGAATGCATTAATGTTCTATAACTAATAGATTGCTTTAAAGTAAACACATTTTATAGCAAAGACAGAAGGAAAAAAATATTCTTATACGTATATTTTGTTTGTCTTGTTATTTGACTTTGAATTTCAAAATGAATATTTATAAAGCATTTTGTTTGTAATGTTTTTGAACACGAAAAATCTTTAAATATGACATTTTTCAAATATAAATCATGCCTGCTCCACCTTTAAGGTCTTTCCTAGGAGATATGTTTTCATTGCCTACTTAAGTTTTTACATACCTTCAATTAGAAGAACGTCTTACCAACACAAACAGAACGTGTAAAGCGCATAACAAAATAATTACTACTATTTCATACTTTTATTGGACCATCTTTTGAATTTTCATCAAAAAAATCTTGAAAGATTTTCCAGCATTCTAGAAATTTTTGAAAGTTTTCTATTCCCGTTTGCGGCTATAACTTTCTTTTTTCCAGACATTGAATCACATTGAATGTGGCCAAAGTTATAAAAATAGATAAAATGTCTACAACATTTATGTGGGTATTTTATCTTTATTCATTTAAATTATTTGTTTAAATGTCATTTAATAATGTAATTGATTTAAGGATTTTAATAAGATTTCGAATGTCATAGTTCACGAAGTTAAAAATATGGTCTAAGAAATAGTGTAGTGTCAAAGTCAACTAATCAAAGGATTATTAGCCGAGAGCATTTTTGGCAGCCTTTTAAAGATAAAACATACGGTTTTATATGATATAAATCAATTCAACTTAAAAGACATAATGTTCTAAGTCACATTGAACATTCTGATTTTAACAATTTTTGAAAAAAAAATACGAGGACTGTTCTATCTCCAAATGTTTTTTTAGTTTTTTAAGCAAGGAAATATTAAAATCCACATATCTTTAACGATATTTAGATGTTCTCTCGACATCACGTTTAGTAGTTTTTAAATTTTCAAAATCCGACAATAAATAAAAAAGTTATGCAATACTAAATCTTTACATGCTTTTTTCTCCAAAACAACAAATTGGCACTTAGAACAAAACGTTTTTCAAGCGATGATAGGTCAGATATATACTTTAAAGTACACATGTATGCAAAATTTAAACATACTTAACCGTACGGAAATCGAGTTATTGCTACTTTTATGAACTGAAGCTAAGGTGTATGATGGCCCTTTTTCAGAAATGAGTAACCTTTAAATAATCTGCAATACCATTCTAATGAAAAACGTTTTCCCAATAATTTTTGGTAAGAAACAAAAAGTACTATTCAGCTAACAATCAACATAAACAAAATTATGGTTTCTACTCAAATTTATAAAATATGTATAAAAATGTTACCCTACCTCATCCATTTTCAACACGTTTTTGAACATTTTCCTACTAATGGGGCCTAATTTAAAAAATACTTAAAATTTACCCAAATGTTTTCAAAGTTTCCCTAAATTTTCAAAAAAGTATATTGTTTGATCTTGTAAAATATTAAATACTTTTACAGTCTAGTTTTGATTTAATTACACTTTGAAAATATCAGGTACCATATTTATAACCAGATTTAGCATTATTTAGCCAATAAATAACAATATAAATTAAATAATAAAACATAAACACTTTTTTCCAAAATGATAGAAAGATACATAAAAAATGTTAAAAGAAAAAAAGAAAGAAAAAAAGATGTCCTATCTGAGGTTTGAACACATGACCCTCAGTTTCAATGCAGTTAACTGTAGTTCTAGCCTATTTGAATACTCTTCAAAGCGGAGGTAAGGCATTAGGATAGTAATACCTTAAGTCTTAAGTTTGCCCTGAACTAAAGTCAGATTGGTAGTATCTTTATCTACACATCTTATGACTCTTGTTTGTTTGTTTGGATTTTACGGCACGTCAACACATACATGGCCATATCGTGCCGAATGCTATAATAGGCTTAAAATATTATGTAAAACTTTGTAAATGATAATAACAAAGAGCCAATCAGATCCTTGAATACAAGTTTATCTCTTTCAAATAATCGGTGATGTTTTTTGATGGAATTGTATTAAAGAGTTCTTTGAGTGAGTTTACATCATAAAATCTGCTACGGGTCTGTGAAAAATCATGACATTTCAGAAGAAAATGCTTGACAGTAAAATTTTCATTACAACCTACACAGAAAGGGGCATTGTCATTCGTGAGGAGATAAGAATGGGTAACTTTAGTGTGTCCAATTCGGCATCGAAGAAGAACTGTTTGATCATGGCGGTTTGACAAAGACAGAGATGGTGACACATCAAGAGATGGGTTTATATCATGAAGTTTATTAAAGACGGCATTGTCCCAATTTGCTTTCCATTCAGATGAAACGAGTTTATATATAGCCGTTCTAAAATCACAAGCAGGTAACAATAAGTCAGTTTTTTTGAAAATTTAATGCTTGTTTAGCTAAAGCATCTACTTTTTCATTTCCTCGTATACCTACATGACTTGGAATCCAATATAATTTAACAGATTTTATTTTAAGTATATCATGAAATCGTAAAAGAAGTTTCTTTATCATGATATTGTCAGATTTTTTATTTTTAATGGATATTAAAACAGAAAGCGAGTCAGAAAATATCACAAATTTATCATGGGTATGCTGTTCTATGTATGACAATGCTAAATCTATAGCTTTTCTTATGACTCTAGCACCACAGAGGTACGTTTCTTTCATGAATGTTGAGATATTTATTTAAGCTGTAAAATGAACTGAGATTAATCAATAAATATTTAATTTTATTTATTTTAAGATTAAATTTTAACTATCAGAAAATGATTAAAATCATTTACTTTAAATACATTTTATATGTTTATATGTTTAGTACTAGGTCAAAACTTGTCTTAGTGAGCGTGGACTGTGAAAATACATTTAAAAACTGCCATCTATTAAGATGCAAAATCAAATCAATTTTTTTAATGTAAGGTTCTAGATGTACAACTTTACCACAAAACGTCCTCCTCTTTTTGCTCATATCGCCCTGATACCACTTTTTGTAGCGTTTTGGAACCTGCCAAAACAGATATAAGTATGGTTATCATATAAATTACTAACACCGCATTTGTCCTAATCTACGTTTTACATGGTAGAAAAAAATAAAAGGTCCTATAGATTTGAAGTACATATTATATATCTTCATCATTCTCAAACTTCTGAAACTTCATATGGCAATTGTGCAGGCCTCGTTGCATAATTTAAGAAACGGCGGCATATGTGTAGTCCCCCATAGCCTCCGTTAAGCAAGATAGATAGCTTCATGGCTTTACGTCCAGAATGACTTAAATATTGGGACCCAACGTTATGCCTTGTTGAATATTATTTTCTAACGGGTAAAATAAAATTGTACCACGTGTATTTGACAAAATCACATCTCACACAAACCATTCCTGTGTCATTTGTCAATAAATTTGTCGGCATTTGTCAGCTTTCTAATTACCGTTAAATATATTTTGTTGCTAGGGTAATACACTTCCACATTAAATTGTGCTATTTAGACAGCCTCCCAATTGGTTTGGATTAAGCTAGGGATAAGATTAATAGTTATTAAACTCGTATTTACCTGGAATGGATCATGCACAGATTGGAAAGCAATGTATAAATACAAAGGTTCAGTTTCAGGATTTGATTCATTGATAATATCAATAACACGGCTAGAAAAAAGTTTCTGAAAAAATAGCATCATATATCTTTTATAAAGTACAATAAAGAAAGCGTCATTATATAGTCTGATACACAGTCTCTTAAAATTTGATAATGCAAGAATATTACATTTTCCACAATTGAAAACGTTTAATGCAGTCAATGCTAAACCTACCGGTTTGTCATTTAACCAACAAAACTAAGGATATGCGTAGAATAATTTTTAAATCAGCACATTCAAAATAAAAAATAATGTTGTTTTCAGTTATGAAAAATTAATTTATCTAAGGATTGTCATATTCTGGGCCTGCGTAAAATTGACTCAAATAACTAAGCAGGGTCAAGGGGTCGTGAGGAACCTGTTTTTTTTTTTTCAACAATTATAAAACACCAGGTCATAGGTTTTCACTTTTCCAGTAACGGACTAAGGTGTATTTGATACAAATACATCTCACATAAACCATTCCTTTCTCTCATTTGTAAACATATTTGTAGCAATGATTAGGTTTGCCTACTTACCGTTGAATATGTTTTGTTGTTAGGGTAATACACTTCCTCATTGAATCTGAAATCGTACCATTCTCCTGAAAATAGAATGATTAATATAGTAGCACAATTAACAGCATTGCAGTTTGATAATACAAATCGTATATTTGAGAAGTAATAGTTTATATATATCTAGATATATCAGACCCTGATTTGACATAATATTAATGGGGAAAATATGATAAGTACAGGTCTTACAGTGTTTAAGTCTTGTCAGCTGATTGTTCTATATTTGATCTTAAACTTTGTTAAGAAAATATAAGGTCCTACACTTTACTTAAGCCAGCGTCATCAGGTTAACGATTTGGATACTGGTGTCTGAACGGCCTGAAATTGCTAAATATTAAATGGTCTCTGGCCGGTGACACTCCGGTGTCAACTCAACGGTAAGGCACCGTGCGGGTCTCTGGATATTTGTCGCGGAGTTATTTAATTGCGGCATGAGGCACACCGCTAGCTCACAGAAGATAAACCTCCGATACTCGGATGGACACCTTTTGGTATAGATTGCATGCCTTGAAACGTTTCACACACTGGGTGCCATATTACCCTCCAATTTCCGAGAGGTTACCGAGGGCGACGTGGCAAATTAACCGCCAAGACCACCGTTAGATGCCTTACGTTAAACGTATGGTCTTATGGTGCCCGGATGAACACAGCAAGGAAAGCGTCGGTGGTAAAAACAGGCCTGACAGCAGGTAGAATAGAAAAAATAAGAATCCTTAACGAAAACCCAACACGATAAATTGAAAATGTTGTAGGCTCGGTTTGATTGAGTCTGCTCATGAACGGTACTGTCAAGTGCAAATTACCGTCAACGCCCCTTAGCACCAGTTTAAGCAGAATTCAACATTTAACATAAACTGGTATAATTTGGAATTTTGAAACATCCACAGATGTGTTCCTATTGACCTGTAAAATAGGCGACCCGGGTTCATTTCTATGATGGTGAAGGTCATTTTCGTTAAAGGAGTTATCGGGGTTTTTTACGAAAGTGAAATACGGGTTAACTGCAGGAACAATGCGGTGGTAAATTCTATGTGGGTTATTTCCGTGATCTGGAATGTATACTACCTCCACCACCACCATTCTGAGAATCATCAGCCAGCTGCTTAGTTCAATCGAACAGAACGTGAAACTAGTAATCTCAATATCGTGGGTTTGATTCCAAGGATGACACTAAAATAACTAATAAGTCTCTCGGAAAAGGCTTTAAATAGAATGCTTAAACAATTAAAATTCTAAAGAAGCAGATGAGGCTTCTTATCTTACATTTTCCTCAAGCTTCTAAACTGACGAATACTCTTTTTTTAGAACTCATGAATAAATGCAACCAGTGACGACTTTAAATTAGCTGACACGCTTATTCGCACGCACACACACACACACGCATGCACACACACACCTGACTCACACAAACATGTTTTCTTTACATTTTCAAGTTAATTTGTATTTACAAGCATTTTAAGAAAACTTTGATTTCAAAATGTAATGCGCCGCAAAGAAAGGGGATGAAGTCGGGGGGGGGTATATATGATAAAAACAGATCAACAAGGAAAGGTGCCGTTCACCTTTTCACCTTTGGGAAGACAAGAACTTTACTCAGAAAGCAAGGAAAAGCACGGCAAAAGAGGGGTTGGGGAGAAGAACGGTATAAAGAGGAAGAGGAAGCAGACATGTCATACGAAAACCGTCCGATAATCGACCGGATAGCCGACCGGATATCGCATGGCTTTTGTCCATTTACTTTACATTCAACTTACGATAGTTGCAAACCGGAGGGAAAACGGATGGTAGTTGGACAATTGGTCGTTCTGTAGTCGGCCGGTTAACTTAAGAATTGTTTATAAGAATAGTATCATTGAAAACACATTTTAATTTTGATTTATGTAACATTTTAAAAGCAGCAGTTGCCAAATCATCACTTAACCCAGGAAAGAAAATAGCAGTAATAATATTTCAGCGAAAAACATATTTATATTTTACGTGCATTGATTATTTTATCATAATAATTATTATTATAAATATATTGTGTTTTTTCTAGTTTTATTTATAAATTGATCCATTGAGTATAAATTAAGTTTTTAATGTTCATTACTACCATAGTCGGTGAAAGTTGGCGTGCGATTTATTGTACGTTTCATTTCCTGTCGTGAAAAAGCTCATTTTTTACGAAAAACTATGATTACTATGCTTTCGTGGTATTCCCCTTCCTGGTTGTGAAAGAGATTGATATAGTTATCAATTTGTGTAAAATAAATGAATTACTCTTATATTTGTCAAATCAATCGATGTCTAGATGGAGACACAACGGTCACACATTAAAACAAGAAAATAAAATATCTGAGTTAAAAAAAAAGATAATATTGATGAAAAAAGTCCTTACCAAACTTATGACTGAAGTATCCTTCGGACCCTCCATAGAAACCATAGAAAGAATCAAATCCACGATACGTTGGTGTATACTTCCAGTTACAGTACCCCAAATGCCATTTGAAATATTTCAAATATATTTCAAATAATATGAGTTAACCTATCAATAAAATTAACAAATTAAAAAAAAAAGAAAATGATAAAGGGAACGCTATCATTAGGAAGCTTTATCAGTTACAGTTTTCATAGTGGGATATCAACACATTTTTCAAACAGCATAGTGCTAGACCTATTGGCAAGTACCTCATCGGCTTGTCAAATATTAATTTGCCTGAAGTCACGCCCAGTTGCCTTTAATTTTGAGAAAATAAGATATATATATAAGAAAGCAGACGACTTTTGAGCAGACAAGAATTTCCCTGCATGCAAAGGGTAAATAATGTAATAAACTTAATATGTTAATAATCTGTTAGATAATCAAGTATTGGTTGATACTTACTTTCCTATAATGTGTGTTGAATATCCTTAAGTCTTCAGTTTTTCAGGCAATGTCTCAAATTGTTCAGGAAGAGCTCTAGCTTCGAAGTTTTTGATAACACTGTGCTGTTTAAGAAATTATAGTGATGTATTACTACGCCTTTATACGCTGTATAGCTGTAACTATAGGGAACGCATTATTCGGGTTATTCATTCACCTGTTACTATCTGATAATAGTGAAATATAGCACTGTAAAATCTTTCTTTAAAAATTCATGTTATTAAAACAATTGCTACACTAGATCTTGAATTTTAAGTATTAGAAAAGTTACCTGCAATCCTGTGTGGAATGGGTATAAACCAGTCATGAAACAATTTCTTGATCTGAAAAAAGTTTAAGTTTATAAATATTAATAATTTGCAATCTAATTCAAACTGTCAATACACTTTTGAAACATAGTGAATATCAACATTTCTAAAGAAAAAAGATTTATGGAGCTGCCACAACTATGGCATGTTAAACGTTGCAATATTCAATAAATTTACTTTTTGGTCTATATCCAATATTTATATTGTATTACACCAATTTTATATGCTATACCATAATATTTATTTTATCCTACTAAAAATATTTGTTCATCAAAAAATATTTGTGTGCAATAATTTTCTATATATATGTTCTATATTTGAAAGCATATTTATTGGATACAGTACTGAAAAATATTTATTCGATAAATTGAATCATGGGATAGAACGCTTAGCATAGTAAGCCCCGCCTATAAGGTAAGCACGAATTTCTGATAAAGCGTTATCATCCTGATAGACTATAGTGTAGTGGAAATGATCAGTATCCCTGTGAAAGTCACTTGTAAATAGTGCATATGCTTAATCCTCCCGATAAATATATATGTATGTCTAAAAATGGAAAAGATTTTAAAGTCTTCAGGACATACGAGGGATGATCAAAAATAAACCGGACTGGGGCTGTCAATTGAAGAATTTTCAAACTATCACTTATTGTTATATATCACAATTAATCGGAAAACTATACCATATCTAATTTGATAACGCAAATAGCTTGTACGTAACAGCGAATTAAAAAACCATGGCAACGCACACCCGGCGCACTGCAAAAATTTACGCTGACAATAAGCGCTCTATGAAGAGTATATTTTACAATATGACACAATTAGATTTCAAAATACGCCGAAAAGTGATGAGCCATATTTGACGTTGTCGGAAGAAATTACTTCATTTAAACCACATTTATCTTTGCAATCACAATTCATATGTCACTTGTAAAAGAAAAACTCGCGTTAAAATTATGCCGTCGGAACGTCACGAAATTCATCAATTAGAAATTGTGTCAATAGTAAGTCGAGAAACTGTCTAAAACATAGAAAGTGATAACGGAAAAAGGGAAAAGGTTAAGGTAGCCATAGCACATTTCTTGATTGAAATAAACCATTAAGAAAGGTGAACTGAGAAATTGAAAAAATGAAAATAAGGAAGAGGCAGAATGGAGAAATATTTTACGGACGTTGGTGACGCGTCAATCGCCAAGAGAGACGTTGAAAAGTGGCAGACGATTGACTGCGGATATTATAAACGATGTTCGACAGTAGCTACGGTACTTTGCAATCAACTATAAGTAAGGAATTTAAAATGATAAATATTAATGCTATTATTATCACACTGGCCATAGCTTTTGCAGAAGCGGTTGGTTCATTGCAGTGGCGATGGAGATTTCGCCGCAGAAGCGGTCGATAAAATATGGCCGTTTGCTGCTGTCGGTAAGTATATGACTAAATTTTACTTTATGTTTTAATGTTTTTCTGGAAACACCTAGTAAGACTGGAGCCCACATATGTACGTTTCTAACTTATTACACGCACACGGTGCAATTCATTGCCATTTTTGCTAACACTTATGTACAGTTTGGTGTGGGGACGCCACTTTTGCCTATTGTAGGTTAAAACAGGTGCAATTGTGTGCAAAACAACCCCTTAATGCACCAACAGTACATCATATGTATACATTGTAATATTTGCACCAAAACAACCATAATTTGGATTTTTTTAGAATTGTTGTTGCCTTTTTTATAAAAGAATTTACAAAAAAATGATTACAATGCAGATGGCGGTGGATTTGATTGCAACGCAGTGCGGTGGTCCAGATACCATTTATGTCTATTGTGAGGGTTTGACTTGACATAACGCATTTTTCAATTTAGAACAACCATTTTCTTACGTTGACATCGTTTACGTTAAATTCTAAAGTTATACGTGCGCCGGATCGTTTTACATGCATATTGCATTAACGATTAACGGCCTAACATTTTCATTTGTTAAGGTTTCTTGTTTGTATTTTTCGTTTCATATAGTGGATTTATTCCGATTTATGTTCCGTGTATTTTTATGTCAATGCATCTTACATGATATCCTTACATAGGTTCATATCGTGGTTAAATTATTAGGCACATAAGAAAAACATTTTTATACGATTGCATGTCCTAAAGACTTTAAAATCTATTTTCATTTTTACATATACATATACATTTATAAGGAGGATTAAACATATGCACAGTGTCATTCACAGGTGATAGAATAAATATAATGGTATAGCATATAAAATTAGAGTTATACAATAAAAATATTGGATATAGAACACAAAAATTTAATTTATTGAATTTTGTAACCTTTAACATGTCATACATAACATAAGAATTACATATTGGCATGCTTACTTATCAATAATACTATATGTGAATAAAGCAGGGAGTGTGAATTTAATTGGAAACATTTTCGTCAGTTGGAAAGGATGTCAAAATAAAGTATATGTAGTATAAGAATAAAGAAATAATCAGATAAACAAACTATTGAAACCTAGTAGCATGCAATAATAACTTAATAAACACACAAAAAGACAGTTGTATGTTAAGTAAGTCAAGTGATCGTATCACATAATGCAAATCGTTATTTGGGTTAAAACGATTAGGCGTTTTTGAAGCCTCAATGCACAAGGAGTCTCGCATATCAAATGCTCGCGTGTAACACCTAAGACTTTGACTGCAGGAAAGTTAAATCAAAAGAATAATAGACAAAACCTGACTTGGCTATATTTGTGTTTTCTCTGTTGTCTGATGTTATCGCATTGTTTAAAATGAAAGGAAATTATAATTATTTACTGCATATTTTTCATTATTTTATGATCTAAAAATAACTGAAATCTCATTGGTGAAAACAGTAGTCAACATAACTATTGATAAAATCATATTCACTGAGTGAAATATCAAATTCACTGGGTGGGGTATCATATACACTGACTGAATTAGATGTTCCCAATAAAAATAGATTGTGACCCATATTCAATTGCTCTTTATGTCATCTTTCTGGATTAAAGTATCATTACCATACTATAATATTTAGAAGTTGCATTGGAAACAGACAAATGTTGTGTTTTGTAATTCTTGACAAGAATTAACTTATCACTAGTCAATAGTTGTATAATAAAGCATTTATCGTACATTTAAGTGATTCATTACTGCAAGATGAACACTGTTCAACTAGACTTCTAACACTTACGGCGTACAAACTTGTTGTACATATGATGAATCAAGAATGACACCTTGTCTTGCTAAATTGTCTAAATTCGGTGTGTGCATTTCCGAATTGTGCCATCCAACATCATTCCAACCTAAAGTAAAATATGAAAATACCATGACTTGAATTCATAATGAACATATTTCCTCAGTCATAGCAAATTGTCTTGGCCTAAAACTAAGTTATTTGTATAGTTCATATTGACTTACTTCTATTCAATTTTACTTTGCCAATTTAAAATCATTTTGATACCGAATAAGTATCTGAGAGGTTAATTTATTTACTTTAATAAAATAAAAATATCAAATTATATAAAACGATATATGTTTTTGCATAATAATCTTTGTTTCTTTACATTTTATATATTTGTAAAAATATTTATATCTACAATAAACACAACGGTGAACCAATTTGCACTTTTTCTTTATTAAAACAGCGTTCCTAGACTATTTTTATCCAGAAAAGTAGAAGAAAAGAAGTAAGTAAAAGTAAAAGAAACTTTGAATGAAAACATTTAAGTGGAAAGTGAGCTAAATTACGACAGATTTTTGCACAACTTCACACACTTCAATTTGGCAACAAAGCGGTTCAAAATCTTTGTCAAAAGATCAAACGATAGAAATAGCTGAAATGAAGATGAAGTGCATTATTTTAAATACTTCATACAAAACGACGTCTTTGCAGATACAACATGTATGAACTGGTTTGACTTCCATGTATGTTTTATTACCAAAGTTCTAGTCACGCTAATCTTGTCTAAAACATCTTCTTTATTTTTGTAAACATCCGAAAATATTGTAACAAACGGACTGTTAATGTGTTGGTTTCTGGAAAGCTACATTTGATCAAAAGGCATTAGACTGCTTGTGATGGTATCTTTGTATTTTTCGCCCTAGAAAGGAAAAGAATATCAGCCACCAGTGGATTCTTGCATAATTTTATTTACAAATATAAGTCGATTTATTGTCCCATCATCTATATTTTTCAAAATTCAATAAATGCCAGCGAGGTTTTAAATGTAAGCCTCGAGTCTATTAAAGGTACCCAAAATAAGTTTGAAATGATTGTCATAAAGTGACATGAAAGTGTCAAATTGAAGAGAGCATGATCACCGCTGTTTGAATTCATCTGAGGGTGTTTAAAAAATGAAAATTATACTATTTACAAATATTTGATTCTGCTTACCACTGCCGTCCATGAACAAGCTCTATAAAAAAAGTGCCTTTAAAATTAATTTTGCTGTCTTTAATTATAAATATTTTAGGTTTCTCTTTCTTTTCATATACTCTGCACGTTTTTTCGGTGATTTATACATTTGGCGTATTGTTCCAGTGGTGGCACAGATACATCAGGAATGAACAATTGTACATATTATGCACCAGTCAGATATAATTTCGACAACCCGTCCTTAAAATAATATAGGAGACTTTTCCTTTGGATAATCAATTATCAATTTCCTCAATAAAGATCCTGCTAGGATAGCAAATTTCCTATTAAGTGACCAATCGCACGTTCTCTCTACAACTTTGTCATATAACACGTTAAATCGTCAGGTTATTCCGTTGTTTCAATGAATTTTACAAAAGTGATTTTTTTTTTTCATTTGTATTTTCATTTGAATCTACTCATTACATCCGTCTTACTGTACTCACAAGCTTCAAAACGAATATAGTCCTTTGGTGAATGAAAAATAGTCTGAGGGCATTGTTTTGATAAAAATAACAAGTCTAGTCACTAATAGAACTCGTCGTTTTAATATACTTTTTAGAGGTTTATTATATTTTTGGCACTTAATTAACAAGAATTTGTAACAGAGTTACCAATGTCACGTCCCCCGCCCGGGAAGTTTTACATGCAGCACAAAATTGTTCTATTTCAAAGATTTAGGTATGGATCTGGACTTTCAGTTAATGCTAGATCTGAACATGCCAGTTTCAATAAATTCATTAAATAAATATAATGACATAACATTAACATTTATATTCTTATCTTGTTATCACTATTTCAGAGCCACAAATGTGACAAATACAAAGTCAATTAAAGTTAAAGGGTACATTTCGTGTCCAGTCATCGATCATCAACACATGACATTTTCATACTCGTAATAGATTATTTGACAAGTGGGACCTTAACGTTTGAGGTAGGGGTCTAGGTGTTGCGCATGACTTGTCGTCTTATTATTGTTATTAAGTTATTTTGAAACCCCTTGATTGATGAAAACGTTATATGCCACACACAAAGTAAAACATTGACCAGACCATGATAAGTTTTAGCACTCAAATGTGGCATTGGCATTGAAGTTAGGAGACTGGCTATTGCATACAACACATGGTCCTATTATTAATACAAATTAAATACACCCTATTAAAGACTCTGTCAACATTTGACCTCTGGGACATTGACCTTTGAGGTAGCAACTAGCTGCTACGCATGATAAATTGTCTTATTATCGTGAATATCTGTGCAAAATTTTTCCAATGTCCCTTGATGTATGAAAAAGTGTTGGCCGGGACACAAAATATACCCTGTAACAGACCATGTTAATCTTTGACCTTCAACTGTGACCTTGACCTTTGAGATAGCAACTGGTTGTTGCGCATGACAAATTGTCTTAAAATTGTGAAAATTTGTGTCATGTATTTTCAAAACCCCTTCATGGATAAGACAGTTAATAGTCCAGACACGACATATACCCTCAAATAGACAATGTTGACCTTTAAACACCAAGTGTGACCTTGACCTTCGAGGTAGTGTTCCGGTTGTTGCACATGACACATCGTCGTGTTATAACAAACATTTATGCCAAGTTATCTAAAATTCATTTGGTAAATGATATAGTTATGAACTGGACACGAACGTGTGACGGACAGACAGACAGACAGACAGATTTTTTGTATATCTCCCTTTTCTTTGAAAAGACGAGGGACATAAAGTACTACAATAAACGGCAGCCACGCCATAAATAAATCTTAAATATCACTTTTTGTAATGCGTGTTTCAAATATTGGTAAGCAGTTTAATTAGATATAACATAAGATAATTACATTTAAATTTAGATATTTTACACACATTTCTGTCAGAGCAAAGATTGCATGATACGATATAACCGAACCTATGTCCGTATATTTTTTTACTTAAAAAGACGTTTGGAATACTCAAATATTAAAATCATTGTAAAATGTCATTGTAAATAATCATTAAATAGTTCCACAGGCCCAAAAGCCTAAAACCTTAGAATTTGAATATCATACAAAGATTAACTGATGTATTTGAAACGGAATGATTTTAAAAAAGGGAAATAAAGAAATATACTCAAAACGAAATTGAAAAAAGATAATAAGTGCAATTTTAACTGATATAAGTTATACGCGTTTAAACTTTTTTCATTCATGTCATTTTGTAAAATAAAAATGGTTTTTGTTAGAGAATAAGGTAATCAAGTTGCTATAAACCATCATCACAAAGAAAAACCCAGTCACGTCATTTTTTAAAAAAAAACAACGTCGGTGGAGTTTATAAAGGATAAAAAAAACAGTTACTTACCAAGGTCGTCAGCGACTATGAAAATGATGTGTGGTGGAATTTTTGCCAAACATTCAGTCATTAAGATATTTAAAATCAAACTTGAAATCCATAATTTCATATTGCAAAACTTGAGTTTGATCTGTCTAAAAGTAAATGAATATACACGTAAGCCAACATTTATGCATAACCATGTCAAAATCAAATAACGTCATAAAGTAATATTATATAGAAAAACATATGTTGTTACACTCTTTACCGCATTATCGCGGCCATGTAACATCTTGGTTTTTCAAATTAACGGCAATGTAATTGTAATTTATGAAGTAAGAAAGATATTTCAATGCAGAACTCGTTGATGTGGAATTGCAAATTAGAAAACGGCCACATACTGCTAATATTCCATTCACTATTTACAATACTGTAGTGTCCCACATATGGAATAATTCTGTGTACCTTAGCCGAAGTATTATGTTTTTAATGTAACTCGCGTAATTTAACAGGTCTATTTATAAAACTAATTTATGTCAATATAAGTGTAAAAAGTTATATGTTTTCATCACTTAATCATCTTTATTTAAATACATGTTATTAATTCAAACTAGTATCTTTGCATCATATCATTGGGTAACCAATGTTAGATGCATTTATTTTAATAAGTTTTTGTTAACATTTAATCTGTCAACCATTACTCGCTAGGTATTATGGGTGATGACGTCGTATGAGCAAAACGTTTCCATTATAAACTTTCTGTTAATATTTCGATTTGATTAAACTTCAATTACTTAAATGTTTTCCTTTAGCTCAAACGACATTCACAATAATAGAAATAAGGAATAACATGACGGTAAACATGGACTTAGACGAAAAAAAATGAGTACGAAACAGATTGTTTTGTGCATTTGATTTTGATATTTCAAAAATTTAAACGTAAAGTTAAAGAATAGACTCAATATTATAATCCTTATGATTCTATTTCCATGTTTCGTAAGAAACGATATGCAGATAAGCCAGTTTCAGTTTGGCCGAGTATCTTTTTAAAAATACTTTTTGCTTATTTTTTTTTGTTGTTGTTTATATGTTATTGTATGTTAAAGTTTAATAATAATAAAATAGATTTACATTTGTCAATTTTACATTCACCTTAAGTAGAAAAACGTTTTAGAAGACCTACATCTATACTACATAAGCAATTATACACAAAGTTGATGCTCGCGGCAAATATATCTGTCTCTTTGCTCATGTCTCAAAGTAATTGTGTACCTGTATTTTGCTTTCCCTAATTCCGTTTGTTCACTTAGGATTGTGCTAAAGTACGGTTGTTGATATATATGATTTTTACAGTGTAAAGTTTTTGGATAATGATAGGAATTTAATTTCATCAAAGAAGTACTCCGGTGCAATGTATTGCATAATAACAACAATCAGTTAATTATTAATTTTAATCTTACGATATCAAAAACATTCGGATTTCTGTGGGTTTTTTTATTTGTTGCAATTTATATTAGAAATTGTTCTTCATAAATTGCAAAAAAAATCCATAGTGTCACGATCATGTCACACAGTCATTGGGTGTATATAAATTTCATTGTAGTTATATAACGGTACGGTAATTTTTCTATATTACAGCATAATACGACAACGTTAAAGAAACCTTGAAGACCAGTGTAGGTATTTCTTATTTGTATTAAATACAATATCATATTCATGATTATGAAAAACATATAATTTTATTTTTCAAACATTACTTGAGTATTTGTATATCTATATATTGTAATTGTGATGATTTATTGTAGCTTTGATTTAGTTGAAAGCTTTCTTATATGCACCAGGGTATACGTTACTGAATTGTAAAACATCTTACTAAAGAACTTTGAACACAGATAACATTCCAGTTTATGTTTCATAATAAAATATATTTGTAGAATCAGTATGTTCTAGTTTGATAATATGATCATTCATAATAACATTTTGGCCTAAGATATTAAAGGCACATTGTTCGTAACCAACAGTTCGGTTTTTTCTCTGGAATGCATTCTCGCATAAATCCGCATCTTCTTGAGGGTCTCATGAATGGAATCTTTCTACAGTGATCTACCAAGTTCATGGTTTGTCGAAAACATTTTTTCAAATAAGGTTTTTCAAGAAACCCTCGCTTTTCAATGTTGCTGAAAATGTCTTTATGTTTGTTTAGGCTTTCAAAAGAGTTTGCAATCCCCGGGTTCCGGTTGATATTATTCCATTCCAGATCGTCATTTCTTGTTTGCCATCCGAAATGGTCTGCAAAAGACATTAGAAACAAAGCTAAACTGAAAACTGGTAAAAACGCAGTATTTTCCTCTTTATTACAGATTAAAGAGTAATTATATGCACAAATTTATGTATAGAGCATATCTTGTACCGGATTGTTACATTTTTGGCAGACCAATCTTACTATATGATAAACACACATGTTGTTCAACCTACAGACATGCTATATTCTTCATTAATACTTAGTTGGGCTATTTCCTTGAAGTAAATGTTTGTTACTTTTGCAAGATAAGCAAGTACATTTGCTGTCTCTTTTGTGAAAATGGAAACTTTTTGTTTTGTTAATTGAAATAAAAAGCCTATGCAAGGATAAAACCAAATACTGTTAAGTTTTGTATTTGAATAAATTATCAAGTGTAATTTTTGACATTCTAGAGAATTTACGTGTATGATATAAGACACTCATAGACACTTACAGTGTGGTTTTTAATTTACAAAGATTTATTACTACTGATAACAATGAGACTTGATAACGATCAATGCAATGTTTGTCTAGCCCATTCTATACGTATAATGATGCTTGGGTTTTTCCATATTGTTCAAGACTATATATATTCAAAATAATATTCAATAGTTCTAGACATTTTATTTCATAGTGTTGTAGTTCATCTTAGACAAGCAATGTTAATAGTAAATTATGATTTGACAAAAAGTTAATATTAATAAAAAATCAAATGTGAACTTTGTTTAAGGCGAGACAAGAGTTGTTGAGGTGTTCTTTTTGTTTTTTTCTCCCACCATTTATCTAATAAGCTGTACATTTTTACGTGTTTTTATAGCTTAACATTATAATACATTGTGTAAAATTGTAAAACTTTTAGAAAACACCATTCAAATTTTTCTTTCCTTTCTTGACCTTATGATCTCCTTTTTATATGTATTTTGGCTTAGTGTTTTGTCGTTTTATCATACATAAAATAATGTATTGATACTATTTAAATTTTCATAGTTTTGTTGTTTTTCCCCTTATTATTGCAAGAGTGTTAAGGTATGAACCTCTTACCCTTAATGAGCTTTTTTGACTGAGGTACTAAACAGAGTAACCTTCGGGTCTGAAGGAATAAAAACCATTTAATAAAAAAGGACATAACGCTAGTGTAATAACACTTTGACGTAACGTCATTTGCGCTATATACGAGTATAAACATAACGTTATAGCGCGCTAATGTTAGCGTTACACTTTAGGCGCATCAATGAAAAATGGCTCTTTTTAACAGTTTACAGATCTTTTTCATATATGTGATAAATATAACACTAAATTTGTGTAGATTCAATAATATATTGAATAAAGCAACATTTTTCTCGCCAGAGCCTCGCATAATATGATTTTATTCAACTCGTTCAATGAATTTAGTATTAAACCTACACTCATTTAATATCCTGTATTTCTTAACATTTTATTAGCATATAAAAATGGCGAAAATATATTTGTATATTGTTTCTTCAAAAGTGATATAAAAATGTTTGTAATTAATCACTCAGACCTGATGAGATTAATTTGCTAATTGGCTAGCAACAATTCATGACGATAACTACTTTGATGTTTTTGATATTTGATATAAAATAAATTCTATTGTATGTTATACATTTTAATTACGATACTATTAAAGATAATACTTTCTATACCCATTTAAACTTTTATTGAAATCTGGTGGTTTTATCCTAATTGATTTTTTACCCATTCTAATCATTATTATACATGTATAATGGCATATGTGTAATTCAATTAATTGTATATAAGCAAATGATTGTTTACCATATACAAATCCTTATTTTTGTTCTTTCTTCTACTCAGCATGTATTTATTAAAATGTATGTGTGCGTTTCAAAACATGTATATATATATTCAGCTTTTAGCCATTTACTGATTACTAGTAATAAGTTTTCAATGCTGATTATGATTAAAAGATAAAGTGTTCATGCTCTATGAAGCAGATTTTTTTCCAACTCGATCAGCCATGAGTTGTGGTAGATTTGTTCATATAAGATAAAGATTATCTCTTAAACATCACTGCCCTAGAGAAATTAACTTTTTAATTATTTAAACTGTTGTCTTCGAGTTGAAGTATTTTGACGATTTGATATTCAGAGATAAGGAATTATTTTTCGTGGCGTTTTCAAATGTGTATAAGTTTGTCTATAATAAGACTAAAATCAAACATACGAAAATAACAAAATATATTTATTATATGACGTCGCTCTGTTTTCCATATACTTAAGCCATTTTATTTTTTCTAAGTGTGTAATAAAACATCGTCTTGACGTTCTTTTTTAACGTAAAAAGTGTACAAAAAACGCATAAAAGCACAAAACATTTTTAATGTTATTTAGTTTCATGCGTTTAGTCACAATATAAATAAACAGTCACTTACTTTCGTTGTCATATATTTTAGTATTAATTTAGTATTAAATATAAAATAACATTTTTAACGCAAAGTCAATTATGTAACCAACATTCTGAAAAATAATCTATTTCGTCAAAAGCCTTTTTTCAAACGATTTAAAAAAACGTGATATTTCATTGGAACATACTCTATTTTTCACTATAAATCGCGCAATTTAAAAATTACTAGGAACAATTAAATCAAATCTAATATAATAAAAAAATGTTTGCTTTTGACAAATTGTAGCGAGTAAATTTTTTAACGATATACAGTAGGCCCGTGACAAAAATTTCGCAATTGGCTTATTGTGGAACTTCCTAGAGACAAAACTAAATTTTAGTTTGCATAATATTATAATATAATGGACTGTTACCGAAAATAAAGTGAACCAATGCAAATCAACAAGTCATCAAGTTTGTTACTTTTCCTTACAGAATTAGGAATCCAGTTTAAAAGGTGTTCGTTGTTCCTGATCATACAAATAGTTG